GATTGTTGGGTTTTTCTCTGTATCTATGAAGCGCCTTGAGGCGACTTTTGTTGTGATTTGGCGCTATATAAATAAAATTGAATTGAATAGAATTACCAATTAACCTAACACCACTAACTGCATGTCTTTGGAGGAAACCAGAGTACCCAGAGGGAACATGCAACTCCACACAGCAAGGCTCAGAGCTAATGGTGGGTTTGAACTCAAGACCTTCTTGTGAGGCAACAGTGCTAACCACTGGACCACCAAACTGTCTAGTGACACTTAAAAAAAGGAGGAAAGCTATGATTACAAAGCTTTATATAGATTTTAAACCACAATAAATAGAGCAATAACATGCACATAATGTATGTGTATGGTTTTCTGCCCTTTTATAACTCCAGTGATTTTCCTATGGTTTGAAATCTCCCGTGATCTTGTGAATTCTGGCTATATTGTATCATGTCATCTCAACAAGAATAATTTAACTTGTTCAATTTCATGCAGAGCCTACATGATTTAAGTACGTTCACCACAGAGCCATAGAGAGAAATGTTCAAATTATAAGTTAGACTCTTCTAAATGTAACAACCACCCAATTTCATTGTTTTGAGTGTAATATAAACCAGGTGTCTACCTTTTTAAATTTCTCATGTACAATATTTTTTTAGTATTAGCAATGTTGGTGTTTTTTCTCTCTCTCCTTAATCTCAGATGAAGGTATGGGCAGATCTTAGGCCTGCATCTATGGACTGGCCTTGTATCCACCCATGGTCATTAACTCACCTGCCTGGCCACTCTCCACCAAGATGTCCCAGCTGCTTCTAGATTCCAGCTTGATCGCCTTCAGTTCCTTTCCCAGCTTCTTGCCCTCTGCTCTTAAGTAAGTGCACTCTAACAAATTACTCCAAGGCTCTGCTTCCCTGTTACCTTGGCCAGTCAACATTAACTGTGCTTTTCTTTCTCTCCAGAACCTCACGGAATACCATGTTCGCTCCTGCAAAATAAATCACTTTCCAATAATCACTTCTAAATAAAACTTTAAAAAAGTTGTCAGTTGTCTGAGTCTGCTTTCTGTGTCCAGACATATACAAACCGAGACAATTTTGGAGATAATCTTTTTATGCCACAAACATTGATTTGTAATACTGGCAAATATTATGTTGTACATAGAGAAATGAACAAAATCATTGACATTTAAAAGAAAGAGGAAAAGAACTAAAATTGATCCTTGTGGGACTCCACGTGTGATAGTTTTACAATTTATATTTAGTACCATTAAATATACAAATGGTACATATTTATTCACATTTACATATATGTTTTGATATCATTCATACATAGAGCTTCTTAAATCAAACTGTTGTGCCCCTCACGCCATAGTGTTGCAGATTGTCTTGCAGGACTTTGATAAATCAAGGAAAGCTCCTATGACACACTTGTGTTAATCACTTTAACTACCGGTAATTTTAAGAATGTAATTTACCTGAGCCACAAAGCAGAGACAGACTAATGGAATATACAAAGTGTTTTGCATATCCGTGTTAAAAAGAAACTGTAAGTATTAAAAAGAAAACACTTAAACACTGAAAACAGTCCCTGTTGTAAGTGCTTTGAGTTTGAGTGCTCAGTTGTATTAGAAAAGCCCTATATAAGAACAAGTCCATTTGCCATTTACCAAGGTGAATGAAGATGGTGGCACCAGGTGGGGCAACACCTTAGGCCAGACCTTCCCGAAGTGTGGGGCCCGCCCCCCAGGGGGGCGCAAAGCCATGGCAAGGGGGGCGCAGGATGAAAAGGGGGGGAAAAAAACAAAACGCTTGGACACTGCTAGCACGGCCGCCTACAGAAACGCAAAGCAGGAGATGAAGCATCGCTGAATATGTTTCCAAACCAACTTCATTCTAAGCCAAAGACTAGAAAATATG